GTGTGACAACACCACACACATACAGACACACCCACACACACACACACTCCTTGGTCTCCTCTGCTGCTACAATGGAAAGACCACCAGTGGGTCATTTTAATGAACAGAATTTACTTTCTCATGAACCATGTGGCTATAAGTCCAGATTCTGGGGCGACCTCTAAGGGAAGGGCCTGGTCTCTGCTCCAACCCCCATCGTTGGTGCTTCCACTATGACACTGTCCTCCCCCACCCACCCTGCCTTCTTTGAGTGTCCACTGACATTGAGCCCATCCTGATTCATGACCCTGAGGGACAGAAAAGAACTGCCCTATGGGATTTCCAAGGCTGAGATTGTCGTAGCAGCAGACACCTCACCTTTCTCCCTCAGAGCACTTGGTGATTTGAACCGTTGACTCTGGAGTCACACTGCCAACCCTGAGGTCACATCCCTGACCTTGGAGGTTTCTAGAGCTTATCAGAAATGGCTTGGTGTTTTGACAAAAACGTGGCAGAATAAAAGACCTCAGCAGTGCATTTTACTTCAGCAGAAGGATGCTTGGGCAGACCTACGTCTGACTGACAAGCACACCTGCAGGTAGTCCACTCTGGCTTTATCCCTGACACAGGCTAAGGTTGCATCTCACCCTAACAGTCAAGGGTTTCTAACTCACAGTGTTGTTCCTTCTCAGTTTGCTAATTTGACCTGTGCTTGAAAGGAGGGGGCTGGGGCTTGAGAATGTTTGGAATGTCTGTTTCAGATGATGATGGCACACCAGAAATTGGCCTTGGCTGTTCGTAAGAAGAGTACAAGGTAGAATGAGTATAAGGATCCAGGAGGGGTGGGAGAGGCTGGAAGCAGAGGGATGAGGATGTGCAGGGGGAGAGGGGATTAATCATGGGTTTTTACAATTTAATGAGAAATTGAAAGAATTTGTTCTTAAAAACAATGTATTCTAATTTTGTAAACTAGTAGAAAATTTTAAAAAAGAAGAGCACAAGGACAAAGGAATTTCTCAGTAATTTTCAGAAAAGGTTCTTGCTTCAGCTTTTTT